GCGGTGATGCTGACGCATGCAATCCGCCTGCCGCATATCCGCTGGCCGTTTTAAGGCCGCCCGCCTTTGTTTTTTCTTTCACTCCACTCCACACACTTGCTTGCTTGCTCGAAACCCAACAATGGCGTGCCTGCAACTTGTCCATGCGCAGCCTGTGCTTTGTAGAACCCATGCATGCATGTAATCAATTGCCTGTCCATCAATAGGGTACCCTGACTCGAGCTGCCGAGTGCCGCCAGAGCCTGCAGACCACCGGCTCAGTGGTTGCAGCTGCCACGGATGGTGTTTTGCTGCCCAGAGCAGTTCTACCAAGTGCATGCAGCCGCGATCAAGATGATGTTCATCATGACACCTCACACTCATGCTGCCGCCAGTGCGTGCACCGGCGCCGCCGCCACAGCCGCCGTACTGCATGTGTACCCCGCTGAATTTGCACTGGTCCCCGCGCATCGAGAACGCAACATATTGTTCTATCGGTAACGTCCTCCGCTGCTGCACCACTGCTCCCTCCCCCGCCATCGCGACCATCGAGCAGCAAAACAGCGTCGGCCAGGACATCTGAGAGCAGCGGGGCGTGATGGCGGACGACAAGGTGCAGGAGGAGGAGGCCGAGGAGGTGGGCCCGATGCCGGCCCCTGCCGAGGAGGAGGAGGAGGCGGACGTTGGGCCTACGCTGCCCAAGGCCAAGAAGCGAAAGGTGTGAGATCCGGCGGTCCCCTGCACGGCGCACTGTGGCAGCCGCACCACCTGCCGCCGCCGTTGCCGCCACCGCCAATCACACGCCGTGTCGAAGCGAGCCTTCTTTGCTGGCTGCGTGTGCAGGTGCTGGAGTATGAGCAGCAGTACCTGCACACGCTGCCGCTGTCAGGCATGTACGAAAAGTCGTACATGCATAGGGACACAGGTGGGGCAGCCGCCTGCAGATTCGGCCCTCACTCCTGCCTGCCGCCGCCTGCTGCTGCCGCGGCGGCTAGCCTGGTTCGCAGCCATGCCGCAGAACTCCTCCACCATGCAGCATCCTGCACATTAGCCTGCCTATGCCTCAGGTTTGGTCTTCTGTTCCGTTGTTCTGGCGTGCAGTGACGCAAGTTGCGGTGGCGCAGGCGACCGACTTCTTTGTGACCGCCTCGGCGGACGGGCACATCAAGTTCTGGAAGAAGCAGCCTCAGGGGATTGAGTTTGCCAAGCACTACAAGGTGGGCAGGCCAAGGTGGTGGAGATAGGGTTGGGTCGGGAGCAGTAGCGGTGGCAGGGACGCAGCTGTGGGGTGTCTGCTGGATGGCAGGGCGTGGGGTTTGCCAAGCACTACAAGGCGGGATTGGGTGAATGTGTGCTGTTGTGTGGTGGTGGTGGGTGGTGGGTGGCGGGCAGGCAGCTGCTCCGTCCCCTCTCCTCGTCTCACCTTTCTTTTTCTCGCCCTGCCTGGCTGACTGCCTGCCTGACTGCCTGCAGGCGCACCTGGGCCCCGTCACGGGGCTGGCGGTCAGCAGCGACGGCACGCTGTGCGCCAGCATCAGCACAGACCGCACGGCAAAGGTGCAGCGGGGGCAGAGCGGGGGTGGGGTGGCAGAGTTGCATCCCGGAGCGTGCTACTGTGCATGCGTCGTCACACACCATCATGCTGTTGGGACGGGTGCTTCCGGCGCTGCTTGTTGTGATGCATGGGCGTGCTGTGCCTGCCATGTGCCGCCCGCAGGTGTTTGACGTGGCGTCATTCGACATGATCGCCATGCTGCGCCTGCCCTTTGTGCCCGGCTGCGTGGAGTGGTGCTCCCAGGCAAGCACGCCTGTGGCCTGTCGGGGCTGTGCTGCTCTGGCCCGTGCTGCTGCACTGCGCTGCGCCTACCCTGCGTGCCCGGCTGCGCGGGGTGGCGCTCCAAGGCAAGCACGCCTGGGCCCGTCGGGGCTGTGCTGCTCTGGCCCGTGCTGCTGCGCTGCGCTGCGCCTGCCCTGCGTGCCCGGCTGCATGGGGTGGCGCTCCAAGGCAAGCACGCCTGGGCCCGTCGGGGCGGTGCTGCTCTGGCCCGTGCTGCTGCGCTGCGCCTGCCCTGCGTGCCCGGCTGCATGGGGTGGTGCTCCAAGGCAAGCCCTGGCAGCACGCTGCTGCTGCGCCGGCGTGCTGCGCCCAGCGCAGGCAGCAAGCAGGCGGCCGCAGGCCTAGCAGCGTGCCGAAGCGCGGTGGCGCAAGCTCCCCGGCATGCAGCATTGTCACATGTTTGGGTGTCCCTCCTCATGCCTGATGTGTGCTTTGCTGTGCTGTGCTGTGCTGCTGTGCAGCGGGGGGATGCCAAGGCCAAGCTGGCAGTGTCTGACAGCGGCACCGGCCTCATACACATCTATGACATGCGCAGGTGGGTGGGAGAGGGCTGCGGTGTTGTGGCGGGTGGTTCCTAGGGGTGCATCGGGGACGCCGCCCCATGCTGTGCCTGCGCTGTGCGCCGCTGTGCTGCCGCTGCTGGTTTGCGGCTGCTGCTTTTTCGGCAAGGTGCTCATGCGCAGGTGGGCCGCTTTAGGGCGCCCATCACCACCCGCCCTGTTTCTGCGCGCCTCCTGTGGCCGGCGGCGGAGACAGCTCTGCAACCCTGCCGCCGCCCCGTGCGCCTCCCATGCGCAGCGCCAGCAACGAGCCGGTCGATGAGCTGCCCAGCCTGCACAGCGAGCCGGTGACCGCCATGCGGTACAACGAGGCGGCAGACGCGGTCATCAGTACCGACGCCAAGGGTGGGTTCCCTGGTGGCTTGTTCCTTTCGGTTTTGATAGGCTTTTGGTGGGGGTGTGGCCGTCCATGCACCTGCATCTCACGCTGCAGCCCGGGAGCTGGCCGCCGCAGGCTCGGCGGCGCATCCCCTGCCACCGCCTGCCCACGCGTTCCACACACACGCACACACATTCTTTTAGCAGCCGCACCTGCTCTTTCCACCCTGCTGCCGCACCAGGCGTGATTGAGTACTGGTCGGCCTCAACCTACCGGCAGCCGGAGGAGGAGGTGCAGTTTCGGTTCAAGCTGGATACGGGTGGGTGGGGCTCCGGCGGCTGCCTGGCTGCCTGGCCTGCCACGGCTGGCATGGCTTGCTTGGCCTGGCCTGGTTCCCTGCCTGGCAGCCTGCTACTTGGGCTGCCTTGCGCCTGCCTGCTGGACTGGTGTGGCGCCTGCCTCGCCTGCCGAAAAACACCCATGACCCCATGCATCCTTCTTTCTTTCCTGCATTCTTTGCTCCATTCTGTCTTCCCATTTCACCATCTCCCTCTCCTTTTTTCCTCCCTGCCGACCCCACCCCTGCAGACCTGTACGCTCTGGCCAAGGCCAAGACCGCCGCCCACTCGCTGAT